AAGAAGAAATAGGAATTAAATTGTCAATCTTTTCCTTTGGTTGAGAGAGATCAAGACTTGATATACAGTATTATTTTGGATAGGGAAAAGTTAAAGCAAATGGTTATAATAGATCGATAATATTTAAATTGAATTGATTATATGATGTTAACAATTGGAATCATCGTCTTAATATTATTATAAAGGGCTCTTTTTTACTACTTTTTTAGAGTATTTTGGAAGGTGCAATTTTGAATTAGATGGGAAATGTCATCGTTTAGTTGAACTTCAGTTTCATTACTATAGAATTTATCTCTTATGAAGTTTTTGTTTTAAGAAATCCTCAATTAGCCAATTATTAATGAATGTAAAAATGCCTGATTTACTATCCCATACAAACTAAACATAAAATAACTCTACTCTGAATTTTCAAAATCCAGAGTCGCTATGATATTTAGTGAATAAGTAAGAACAACCTTAAGACTTTATAAAAAATGCCACAGAATGGTGAAAAACATGCCGCCTAATATAAATCTTACTAAAGAACTCTTCATCAATAATTCCATTTTCAATCTTTACTCCTTATTTGGCACTTATGAAAGTAACAGCACAATCAAGGTTGCATATCTTCTCCCTAAAAAAGTTCTATTTATTCTAAATAAACTATTCATAAAAAGAGTAAATTTCTAGAAATTTACTATTAAGAACATCCCTAGTCAAAAATAATATATCTTCAATCAATCACTATAATATAGCTAATATTAAAATTCAGAAAGTAAGCAATTCAAGGATTTATTTAAGTTTCAAATTAATTACCATAAAGAATCCTCTTCAAATTCACCAACCAATTTTTGATAATATCCCTTTTATCTCTCTTATATGCATCAATGTATGAAAAAGTTTTACCAAAAAAGATCCTTAATAGTTCTCTAGCTCAAATTATCCTTCCTTTTGCCTAGTTTAATTAATTTATAAGGTAGAACTCTTTTGCATCCGCGGTTGATCACTCGACTCCTTAATATCTCATTAATGAAATAACAAGGTCATAATTAATACGATCCTTAGATCATAATCAAGTAAGATCAAGATTATACTCAATAGATGATATATAAAAATTAATGTTATGTTATCCTATCTATTTAAAATTATATTAATAATTACGAATAGTTATTTTTAATTCATCGATTTTTACATTATAAATAAATTAATTAGATATCTTAAAAGATTTATACTTTTGTCACCTGATTCATTTTTTTAGTAGAATAATCTTAGAATGAAATAGAAACATTCTCAAATTTCTGTATTTCCTTTAAGTTTCCTATTTTTTACTTAACCTAATTATTTATTTTGATCTAATAATTTATTGTGTTATTCATTTTTTCAAAAAATTCATTAATGATGAATTGGGAAATTTAATTGACAATCAATTAGATATTTGGTCTTTAAGAATTTGAATTAATTCATGTAATTCTATTTTCGATTGATCGAGTCACTTTAAAATTAATTACAGATTTTTCATTTTTTTTCGAGAACATCATCTTTAAAAATTGAGGATTCTACACACTAGATTCTGAGTAAATTAATCCATTAAAATCATTGTATTTTATTGAATTAACTATAATTTAAATTAATTTATTACATATTCATAATTTCTAAATGATCATTAGTTCACCAATTACCATAATTTCATGATTTCTACATCTAAAAACATTCTATGCGTTGAATATGATTATTTATAGAACTGTTGAATAATTTATAACAATTTAATTAATTAAGTTTAAAGAATTTATGAATGTATTTAATAGAATCATTTATGGTTGGCTTATGAAGAGTTATGATATATAATTGATTAAATTCCTGTAGATAATGATCTAATTTTAGAAATGATTAAGCTATGCGATCTTTGTATATTTCTTTTATAGAGTAGGTATCTATCCTTATTATGATAGAAAAATTATACAACTCTTTTTTTGGATATCTCATAGGTGTTAAATTAGAAAAAAAATTAATTAGAAAATTCTCCAATAATCAGAAATTTATAAGCTTAGCCCCATGTATTAAAACAAAATTTTGCAAATAAGTCAAAAACCTTATTTTTAGTCTCGAGTTAAGTGAATATTACTGAAAATTTTGTTCAGAAGCTCGATAAAATGAAATTATTGGTTCATTGTATTTAAAAATGAAAAAATAATAAGAATATAAAATTGTTGAAAATATAAACAATAAAAAATTACTTATTTTATGATAAAATAATTAAATCAATATCTATGAAGTTATCATTATAGTTGTAATGTCATAATTACCAATTTACTTAACTTTTAGACATTTACTTATATCCTATTAAATATCTGCAATATCCTCCTTACCATTCAGACCTTTGATACACTATCAATCATCAGTTATCATCATTAATTATATAACTACACAATTAATAGAATTTCTTAGAAATGATTTCTTTCCCTAGAAGAAACACTTAGAGTTTGATATTTAGATCTATTATGAATTTAAAAGGTTTAAAAGAGAACATCCTAAACATCTACTTAATTTGAGGCTAAAAATTCCTTGAATATCAATATTAGGGCTGGTAGATTTATACAAGCTGTCGAAACTATAGTTTTATCAGAGATACAAGTAATAATTTGTCCACCCATTCCATAAAATGAATAACTCCAAGTTTATTATCAGTACCTAAAGGTTAGAATATATAGGAAACAAGGCTAGGAAATATAAAATTTCTATATTCAATAAAAAATTCATCCTTGACAGAACCTTTTCTAAATATTTCAGATATCAAAGAAGATTTCTTAAGACCTAGCTATTACTTATACTTTTTTTGATTAATTTCAGCAAAGTTTGAATAATATCTTAGAATTTTCATTATTTTTTAATTTTTAATTTCCACCACATCATCTATTAATTATATATGTAGATTTACCTATTAATTGTTACAGTCTGATACCTGAAACATCAACTTTGATTTTCTTAAGTGGCAACAAGACGATTATTGAAAAAAGTTTCTTAGTAAGTCTGGGATCCAAATCTCTGTATTGGAATAGAAATTTGTGGGCAATTTATATCCAATTCTCTTTGTTTTTCTCTTTAATGTTGTATTGTCCCTTGAATCCACATTCTCAATTATTCAAGATAGCCTTTATGCTCTTCCTTATACCTATTGCTTCTAGACTTTCTAAGGCTTAACAATTAAATGTGGAGTTTGGTTCTTCCTTGTTGATTTAAATTCTATGAGTACTTTTTTTAAATCCAGAAAAATAGTAAAATATAAAGTAAAAGATATATTAAATTTTATATCAAAGATGTTTTTTAAAATATTTTTTCTAAATTTACTTCTCAATTGTTTCTTAATTTAGAGTTATGATATAAAATTTCAATTTTAATTCTCAAGAATTTGATTAATACCTAATTATAAATTTTAAAGCTTATTTGTACATAGATAGAAGAATTATAAATCAGTTTTAAACTGGTTTATAATTCTTCTAATGGTTTAATTTTTGTTATAA